TTAGGAAGGCAGGAGATGGCTGGACATTGACACTAGCCAAATTCAGATGGGAAATAAGGGTATATTTTTAACAGTGAAAGTAATTAACCCTCGGAGCAGTTTACCAAGGGTCACGGTGGATTCCTCACCATGGGCAATTTCTTTACAAGAGCTGCCCTAGGAATGATTTTGGGACAGTTCTGTAGCCTCTCTTGTGAAGAAGGTCATCATCACAATTGTCCCTTCTGGTGGTGGAATCTATTAAATGCCACCCCAGTTCAGTTAGTATCCTGTTCTCCCCCACGTTGCACCTAAGGAGAAAAAATTCTTCCTGACCCCAACTGGCGACACATGTGCCTTGAAGCATGAAGATCGCAACTTTTATCCTACCTAGTTTGACAGCCAACATCTTTTTTCTTCTTCCCCTTCATTTTTCCCCTTCTCCCCGCCTCCCTCCCTCCCTCCGTCCCTTATTTATTCTTGGATCTGGACTTCCTACACTCCAGTCATCTGAAGAAGTGGGTCGTGCCCATGAAAGCTCCATGTTTTGTTAGTCTTTAAGATGCTACTAGATTTGCTGTTTTTTAAATATTATTCTTAATGCTCTACAGTCAAGATCCAAGCTGAGTAAATTAGTTGTCTCAGTCAGTATCTAGTGGTGCTGAGATCCACAGGCTGGTTGCATGTTGTGAAAAAGAAAAGGCAGTCCCCTTTATCAGTTCTAAAGGGGCCTCTTCCCTTCTCTGCGCACTAGATAGCCTCCCCCCCCCCCGACTCCTCTATGTGAGCATCACAATCAGCAATTCAGCCGTAAACCCTAAACACTCCTCCCCCCACCTCACACCCCCCCAGCGCTGTCCTGGGACTTTTCATGTCTTATTCCTGCTAAGATAATGGGCAAACAAATCCCACGTTTCAAAGCGAGAGTCAATCACCCCAGAGCTGAAGAAAAAATTTGCTCTGCAGCTTCAATCTAGAGCCCTGAGCAATTAGCCGCATCTAGAGTGTCAGTGGGGCAAATGAGACACTAGCTAGCTCCGCACAGGGATCTGATACGGTGTAAACCCTCTGCCCCCCGAAACTCTGCGCCTTGCAAAGTAAAAGCGGAGCCGACGTCCTGATGAAGGGATAAAAGGAAAACGATAATAAGGAGCAAATGCATGTTATGCAACCACGGTTGCTATCGAAGTGGGTGGTGCCCGCAGGCATAAAAAGGACGCTAAGACATAGGTTAGTTGGGGGGAGGGGGAAGAATTCATGGTGCAAAGTCTTCTAGCTTTCTGAAAGGGCCTAGGAAAGTGGTTGTACTGGCTTCAAAACAACCACCAGGCAGCAAAGCGCCCAGAACAGGAAAGGCCTGTGCAGAAGGGACCCTGTGTGTTCGCTGCGCCGGAGGGGGTGTGAACATTTGGCGTCTTGTGCTGTAGAACAATAAATCTCCACATTGCAGGGGGAGGAGGCAGGGAGAGGGAACGGGGCTCTTTGCAGTGGGGGGGGGGTGTTTCTGGA